CCCCCCCCCCCCCAAAAAAAAAAGTGCCTTCAAATTAACGAAAAATATAGTCTTGCGGTTGTCGCAAACACATGGTTTTATTTCCATTTCCCCTGCTTAATTCAGGGCACTTCCCCCACAAATTTCCTTGACAATTAAGTAGTACAGGGGCAAACAAATATACGTATCCCACCCATTCCCCTCAAAAAGAGGTCGGACAAAAATGTGCTTTAATTTTTCAAAGATCTTCAATGTCGTTTACATGCGCGAGAGCGTGGCAGCGGACGATATTTGAAGCGTACCTCTTATTCTTATGTAAAGAAAAAAAAAAGCATATGAAATAATTCGTGGCTACAGAGAAGCAATGGCAAACACCGCGAGCGAAGCGACCGCGAGAAATCTTTGGTATTCTAGCGCCCCTTCGGGGCGGGTTTGGCGCCCCTGCGGGGCACTGAGGGGGGGGGGGCAGTGCACCCGCTCCCTTCCCCCCCCCCCCCGGTTCCTACGGCCCTGGCTCGGGGATTCCCCCGTTCTTCTCAGTGTGCGACCAGCCGACCAGCAAACTAGGGCGCCACTACGTCGCTTGTGACAGAATGGGTTTGATTGTCGTACAGGGGCGTAATGAGTAGTGACCATCTAGAGACGACGCGACGTCGCACGGCCTGCGTACCTATGCGCCGTTTTACGTTCACGCGGCCGTCGTTTTGTGGGCTTTTGACGGAAAAGAAAAAACGATTTTCACCAGCGAGGGGTCACTATAATTTAATTAACATATAAATCATCTTATAAATCGTACGATTTGCAAAATTGAAGCAGGCACCCTACATATACATTATACATACAACAGAAAAATGTCTTTAGCTCCCATATTTGGAGACATATATGGGGGAAAGAAAACAAAAAGGAGCATTGGAGTAGAGGCAAAGGACGAGTGGAACTGTACAAAACAAAGGAGTGTACAGTACACTCTAAACCTAACGCTAAACAATATCAATGGATATCTGAAATTGACAGTGTGACAGGCTTGAAACTACGAATATGTTTTAATTTAAATTTAGCATCCAATCGAAATGACTAACAGAGCGAAATCAACGTATGCAAAAACGAAAACCAAGTCGAGAAATGCATCAGAAACGAATCCACGTACAGGGGACGTCAGGAGTTTGGTAGTAGGACCTTTGCCAGTCGGTGTCGTCAGTGTGGTCCTCCGGAGAGGGACACATGTCAGGGTCATGCGAGTAGAGGCCTATCCTCCTCACCTCATCCCACTGAACTTCCTGGTGGCAGCCGACCACGCATGTCTCGCAATCCTGGGGAACGCACTTGTCATCAGAGTTGCACCAGAGCTGGATATGAAGCGAGGGATTCGCCGCGAGCGTCGTCTTGACCGCGTCTCTGTGTATCCAGGCGTGGGGACATTGCCCACCCTCATGCAGCGCAACCTCCAGCAGCGTCAGGGCCGAGGCCGTGGTGATGCTCTTGAGCAGCTCGTCGTTGGGTTTAGCGTCCAGGTCCAGCTGGCGCAGGGCAGGCAACAGAGGCAACGCGCGGAGTAGTGGCCGCACGGCCTCGACCTCCAGAAGGGCCAGGCGCTCCAGGTGGGACCTCCCGCACGAGGTCAAGGCCTCAACCAACATCTTGCAGAACTCAGTGGTAGCAGTAAAGTCTTGGCACCGCAGACTGCGGATTCGCGGCATGGTACCCAACAGTTCGGCGGTCCTCGACGTCTCAACGACTCCGAGACCTGCGTCGATAACGAGGTTGACCTCCTCCAACGTTGCCGCGTGCCCGGCCAGTATGGTGTGCACGAAGGATGCCGAGTTCTTGTCGACTGAGCACCGGAAATGGGTGAGCGACGGCATGGGCGGCCCGTGTTGAACCGGGTAGATGAGCTTGGGTAGGTTGGTAAGGACTTCGAGCGACTTCAGGCCAGAACACAACGCAACCGTCCCCAGCAATGCGTCGATTGCAGGCGCCGAGCGAAAGGTCGGCAACTCAAGCTGAAGCCTTCTGAGGCGCCCGAGGGATTCCTGGTTGCGCAAGGCTAGGGCAAAAGCCAGGGCCAGGGTGTCGCTTTCGACGTCAAGTCGCCCCCTAAGGGACGCTGTTAACAGCTTCAAAGTTGCTACGGCGCACCGGGTCGTGGTCACCGCTAGGGATCGGGCGCTAACGACCAGTTTGTCGAGGCACGGGGCCAGCCGCAGCACCGCGCCCACGCGTGAGCTGCGTCTCCAATCGTCGTCGTCGAGCGATCGGTGTCGCCAGACGTCCCGGTGCAGGACCAGGGAACTGAACCTCTTGCACACGAGGCGGCAGGCGAGGAGGTCCTCCACGTCCAGGAACTGCATCACCGCCACGAGCACGTCGTCCGGCAGCTGCTCCATGGCCAACCGAGAATTTGGCGTAGTTTCGCGACAGGGCGCAAAGTGCGTTCTAGAAAAAGTGGGGGACCCACCAGTTAGTGAGCAACTCTGTAAACCACAAGGAACACTATTCCGTATAGGCACAGACGACTGGCCTACCTTTGCGGTGATGATGAGCTGATGACCTACTCGCGTGGGACCCGTACTTGCCTTCCCGAACCGGGGGCACACTGCGAGTGGTGGAGGGATCTAAGTTGCGTGTCCGCGGTAGCCTCAGCTGGCGCTCTTCTGTCTGCGGAGGAATGGTCAGAGTCAGAGAGAAATGCGAGGTCAGGGAGGGACGCAACGCCAGCCGGGCGGCTAAAGCGATGCTCCGTTGCGCTGACCTGCTGACTTTGGCAAGTTAACGTAGGAGAACCTCTTCATGTAACGAATAAGCACGACCACATATGAGAAGGTGGCACTATAGAGTATTTCGACTAACGGAGGAAGAAAGAGTAGCGGGTAGAACATAGAGATTCCTGATTGGCCGAACGCCTATCCCCACTACCGGCGTGACGTAGGCGGGAAGCTCTCGACCAATCGGTAACGTTTAGGCCTACGTTCTCCCCGCTATTCTTCTTCCTCCGTCAGTCGAAATACACTATAACGAAGGTCAATTGTTAGTGGACAGGCGGGCGGGCGGCAGCTGAGGCCCCGGCCGCCGTCTACTTTTCTGACTTTGTATCCATTTTACGGGCATTTCTGCCGATGAAACTTAAAAAACGATTACATGAGCGTGTTCCTCGCACTTTTCTGCTTTCGACCATGCGCTGCTTGGCACCTAGGTGCACTTCTAGGGCCGGTTCCAGGCCCTTGAACGGTGTCGTGTCAATTTTCCCGAAAGTTCGACTTTGCGCGCCCCTCACGTCTAAACTATGCGACCAACAACATCGTACGGCAGCTAGAAATGTTCCTTGAAGTCTGCACTACAAGAACAAAACGGAAGTTAATCAAATATTTGCATTTTTGGCTGAGTTATGGCCGTTCAAGGGCCTCGGATCGGAAGCGCGGAAAACCGGGGACGTGTGTGGCGGGTTGCCTACCCGGACCTCCCGTTACGCGCAATGGTAATTTTGGAGGCTTACAAAATCTTCCCTAAGGGAAATTTTTGATGCCTCAGCGGGCCAAATCCTTTATTTTGGCCATACATTGCCGTGTGCAAAGTGGCATCTTGTGCTAATGATTCGCCGTATCCTATAATGTAGCTGCTCCACCATAGTGCCACATCTGGCAAGCCTTCAGCGGAAGCGTGACCGAGCGCCCAGCCGAGAGAGCGGAGGGGAGGAGGGAGAGGGGGCGGAGCTGACCACCAGGAGAGCGATCAGAGATCAGAGAGCTCCCCGGGAGCGCGCCTTCTATACGTCCTTCCACCACCACCCCTCACACTGTTTTTGCAGATTTAGAAGGAGCTTCCGGTGGTCTCTTTGATCGCCCTACCGCGGCCGATGTGCGAGGTGCCCGCGCACGCCCCCGCCATGAGAGGAGGAGGGCGCCACTGTGTCGCTCGCGGCACAAAAGGGGTTGTTGCGATTATCGTATAGGGGCGTAATAATTAGAGCAGATTCGAGACCTAGAGACGTCAAATGGCCCGCGTACCTAAGCGCTGTTTTACGTCCACGCGGCCGTCGTTTTATGGACTTTAGACGGGAAAGAGAAGAAAAAAACCGAGCTCCAAGGCACGAGTCACCATAATTTATTCAACATCTCCTACGGGAAGATTTGAAAAATTGCAGTAGACACAGTTCAAATAACAGAAAAATTGGCTCCCATATTAGAAGTCATATAGGGGAAGTAGAAAACAAAAAGGAGCGCTAGTGAAGGACAGAAAAGCATGAGGGAAGAAAAGTACAAATCAAAGGAGTGCACAGCACACTCTAAACCTAATAACTCCAAACAATATCAATGTATATATCTTATTGTAAAAACGTGACAGGCTTGAAAACACGTTTTCTTAAAAAGTTCACCATTGAATCAAAATGACTGACAGAATAAAACGTAGGCAAAAACGAAAACCAAAAGTCTAAAAGCATCACACACGAATCCACGTGCAGGGGGGGGGACAATTGTTCGGCGGTATGACCAGTCAGTGTCGTCAGTGTGGTCCTCCGGGGAAGGGCACTTGGCAGGGTCATGTGAATAGAGTCCTATCTTCCCCACCACATCCCACTGCACTTCCTGGTGGCAGCCAACCACGCATGTCTCGCAATCCTGGGGAACGCACTTGTCATCAGAGTTGCACCACAGCTGGATATGCAGCTTGGGGTTGGCCGTGAGCGTCGCCTTGACCGCGTCCCTGTGTAACCAGGCGTGAGGGCATAGTCCAAACCCAAGCAGCACAACCTCCAGCAGCGTCAGTGCCGGGGCCGTGGCGGGAGTGATGCTCTTGAGCAGCACGTCGTTGGGCTCGACAGCGTCCAGGTCGAGGTGGCGCAGGGCGGGAAGGGAGGGCAGCGCGAGGAGTAGCGGACGCACGACCTTGACCTCCAGAAGGGCCAGGCGCTCCAGGTGGGACCTCTCGGACGAGATCAGGGCCTCGACCAACATCGTGCCGAACTCGGTGGTATCCGTTAAGTCTTGGCACCGCAGACTGCGGAGTCGAGGCATGGTGCCCAACAGTTCAGCCGTCGTCGACGTGTCAGCGATTTCCAGACCTGCGCCGATAACGAGGTTAACCTCCTCCAACGTTGCCGCGTGCCCGGCCAGTATGGTGTGCACGAAGGATGCCGAGTTCTTGTCGACTGAGCACCGGAAATACGTTAGCGAAGGCATGGGCGGTCCGTGTTGCACCGGGTGGATGACGTTGGGTAGGCCAATGACTTCGAGCGACTTCAGGTTGGAGCACGACGCAACCGTCCTCACCAAGGCGTCGGTTGCAAGCGTCAAGCCGGATCCCATCCACCCAAGCTGAAGCCCTCGGAGGCGCCCGAGGGACTCCTGGTTGCGCAAGGCCAACCCCAGGGTCAAGGCCAAGGGCGCGCCGTTGGGTGCCGCCCAAGTATTCGAAAACAGCTCCAGCTTTGCCACGGCGCACCGGGTCGTGGTCGCCGCCAGGACTCGGCCCATGACGGTCAGCGTGTCGAGGCACGGGGCCAGGTGCAGCACCGCGCCCGCGCTCGGGTGGAAGTCCTCCAGCAATCGGTGCCGCCAGACGTCCCGGTCCAGGGCCAGGCCGCAGAGCCTCTTGCACACGAGGCGGCAGGCGAGGACGTCCTTCACGTCCAGGAACTGCATCACCGCCACGACCACGTCGTCCGGGAGCTGGTCGAGCTGGTCCATGGCCAACCGAGAATTCGGCACAGTTTCAGTGCGTTCTAGAAAAGCGGCGGGACCCGCCGATTAGTGAGCAGCTCGATAAACCACAAGGAACCACTACTCCGTCTGTTTGCAAAGACGACTGACCTACTTTTTAGATGTAAGAAGATGGGGTAGTGACCTTAACCGAGCGGGGTCCGGACTTGATCTCCACAACCGGAAGTAAACTGTGAGTGGTGATCGAGGCTCCGCTCCGCTAGCGATCTGCGGCGGTCTGCGACGGAATGGTTAGTCAGAAATGAGAGGTGAGCGAACGAAGCGAGCGAACCCACCCAATTGCCATACACGCGAACATGCGGGCCCGGCCCATGACACGAGTCCGTCAAAAGAAAATCGAAGAGGTTGCCAAGGCAAAAAGGATTTCACACGAAAATATTTATTATGCAGATGATTGTCTTACAACAAAAAATAAAGATTCAAAGGTAGGCAATTTTTTTGCAAGTAAAGGTGCTGCGCAGAGAGGATAGAGAAAAGCCCCTCGATGTCATTACAAAAAAGGTGTTAAATGATTCATATTCTATAGGAAACATACACTAGCGGCTAGTTATTGACGGAAGAAGTTCCGGTTAATCACAACCCAACACGAGTCCACGACCTCGTCTTTCTTACGGTCGCTGCTGTCCCAAATGCGGTGTTGGCACCCCAGGGCACACACCGTGCAAGGCACGCCGCCGTCACAGCACTTGGGTTTCCGGAGCAACAGTAGCTGCACACAGGGGTTCACCGCCAGAAACTTTCGGATCGCGTCCGCGTGCATCCAGGCGTGGATACACCTGGAGTACACCCTGAGCCTGAGGCTCCGCAGCGCCGGGGCCGTGACGGGCGTGATGCCCTGCAGCAGCTCGCCCGGCACCGCGTCCACCTCAAGGAGCTGCAGGCAGGGCGCGCAGCGCGCTGGACGGGGCGTTCAGGTTCAGACGGAATTCCGCGGACCTCGGCCGTCCGGTGGGCGGGGGGGGGGGCTGGCCGGCCGGCACGAGGGGATTCAGTAATTTTGCTAAAGAGATGTGCCCGGTACCTCTACTATTTTCTGCGCCAATTTACCTCTAGGCGAATTTAAATCGCCGAAAATAATACAGCATTTACCTCGCTAGGAAAATTAGGCGGTGAACACTTAGGGCCACAACTAAACAACTTACATTTGGCTGTTCAGTCGAGTCGCGGAATGAATTGGAGAGCGAATGACCCTCCCTGGCCTGGGCTGCACTAGTAGACTGGGGTCGGACCGCGACCACCGCGACTGACCAGCTGTTGGTGTGACGTCACGCCGCACGTTCACGTATCCCTGGCAGCAGTAGAGAAGTGCGTTTAGCTGGTTTAGCGCTCGGACGACGAACGACAGCGGAAAAGCAATGTCGAAAAGGTTATCAGAACGATATGTCAAAGAGACAAAAATCGCCTAGCTTCGGTAGGAAGTACCCAATCAATAAGAGTAGCAAAAAGAAGCTAGCATACGAGCGGTGGCGTGACGTAGCGCCATCCCAAAACAAAGCAGAACGCTGGCAACCTTCTTTCTATTATGCTACAAGTGGATGTGTGTAATCATCGGCTCCAACTGATCCTACTTTTAAAAAATTTGAACGAAAATTGGGTCTAGATTTAAAGTCGTTGTGTCCTTGAGTCAAAAAGTTGTCTTGAGGAGTTCGGCCTCGTAAAAATGAGTTCACTCAATCTTCGAAAACATCTCGAAGCCGAGTGTACTCGAGGTTAGAGTGCACACATAACGCATATTGAACCAGTTTTAATTCAATGGCAATGAATGAACCGTCGTGTTAACCTTGTTAAAACTGATACAGTGGTGGCAGATGCATAGGACAGCAGACCTAACCTCTGCCATACCGCTCCGAGAGGGTCTTTCTCAGGAAGCGTACCTGCCCACAGCTGCTCCAGGGACGGCAAAAAGTCACCGAATGAGGAATGAAAAATTCTGGGGTGGACCTTGCCTTGCACCTACCTGCTCAGCCTGCTGCAGTCTTGGACGACGTTGATTTCGAAGTTTCACATTGACTCTCGAAGTTGAGTGTTGCTCTGCTCTGCTGCTGCTACTGCTGCTGGTGCCGAGAACCGTGCCCCCCGCTCCACCCGCGTCCGGATATGGTTCGGCCGCTCACCGCTGGGAGGGCGCCATCAGCGTCTCGTCTTTTCTCGATGGAACCCCGCGTTTAACTGCTTCGCCTCTCGCCTCGCCCCACGCGGGAAGAGAGGTTAAGTCGAACCATATAGCGCAAGGCGAGGTTGGGGCGGGACGGAGCGCCGGGGGGTCGAACTTAACCGCGCGGGTGTTCGAGGAAACAAACTGCGGGGGCGAGGCGGCGGCGGTGTGTGTCGGGGTTGAGCGAAGAGCTATTCGTTTCGCCGCTTCCACGCGCGAACGCGAGCAGTCGGTGGCTGCGGTGGGTACCGCTACCGCCGAGTATCAGTACCGTAAAGGAGGGGAAGAAGAGCACAAAAACCGAGAAGAGCGAGGAAAGATTAGGGAAGGGTGGGTGGGTGAGTTCCTTCTGGTAGAGACAGCCTTGGTTACACGGAAAAAAAACGTAAGTTCCACAAGCTAATGATTAGCTGTGATAGCTTATATGTTGGCTGCCCAGGCACTAATTAACCTTTTCAGCTCTGACAGCTAAACATTTGCTGCGGTAGCCACGCATTAGTTGAGAGAGCTAATTGCGTCATCCAAACCAGATCACGCAGGATAAGCTGTTATACGGAAGCATTAGTTCCTGCAGCTAATATTTGACCACCACAGCAAAAAATAAGCTCCAACAGCTTAAAATTTAGCTACTGCCTGGACAGCTAACATTTAGCTAGGGCAGCTGAGGTTTTTTTTCCCGTGTACTCTCGAAAAACCATCGGAAACAAAACAACATATTAGAAGGACGGGAGACCCTTGACTCAGCGCCGAATCTCATCTCCTCTCTCTCCACAACGGGCCATCAGCGACAGACAGCGCAAGCGACGGGCAGATCAAGAGCACTCACATGCGCGCAACTGTTGGACAGCGGCAGCAGAGCAGTACGCAGTGCGCGTCTCGAGAACGATCACGCGGACAATTACGTAAATGCTCCGCTGGTCCCTTCTCGCGGAATGACGCCCCCCCCCCTTTCCCCTTTCTCCTTCTCCATCCCGTTATTCCTCTAGCTTTCTCCGCGATCCACTTTTTTCTCCCCCCCCCCCATACTCCCAACCCCGCACCCCGCATGTGTTTCCTGAGATTAATTTTTGGCCTCTTTCGCGCCTTGCTGACTCGGTGCTTGACGCTGGGTGGGCACGCCGTGAGCACGCCACCGCCACACCAGCAGGGGGTGGGGGAGTGTCCGGTGAGAGCGGCGGAGTGGGGCAGAAGGGCGAAAATATTAAAGCTTTCACGAGCAGACGCCTTAGGGGGGCACGGCCACCGGTGGTGCCTGGGTAGGACGAAGGTCACTCACGTGACTTATATATACTGCCAACGTAAAATATTAACGTCAAAAAGGGGAGTCGTGTAAATAACGGTTTAATATTGTTTGCCGGGGGGCTTTGAACCATATCCCCCTCTCACCCCTCCCCCTGCTTTTGCTGGCCCCGCACACCCCCGCGCTCTGTGCTCTGCGCATATTGTACACTCGTCGCCAGTCCTGACGAATTTCCGACTTCGGAGAAGTTCTGCTCCTACTTCCTCCTCCCTTTTCAATACGCATGTTGTCCTACGTGGTGTGGCGTGGCAGGCGGGGCGGGCGGGGCGGGGCGTGGCGGAACTTGGAATGAAACGAGATGGTATCTCCATAGCGCGAAGGGAAGCCGCCGGCTCGTGCTGAGAGGAAGGAGAGGGGGGGGGGAGTGCGGAGCAGACACTAATGCAAGGACTCCTGGGGAAAATCTGATTCTCGGGCAACTTGAGAAAGTCGTGGGCGTCGTTGGGTTCGAATCCAGTCAAAGACTCCCGCCGCGCCGCCCACACAGCGCGCCCACCGAGAAGCCCGCGCCCACGCACACTCTATTGCTGCTCGGTCGTTCAAGTCACAGTGGGGTATTTATTTTTCGTCCATTGAGAGATGCAAAGGTCATGGAGGAAAGAGAGAGGGAATGTGTGAGAGAGAGGCCGAGAGTGGTGTGTGAGAGCGAGAGAGAGAGATATATACATATAGAGAGAGAGATATTATATTACTGAAACGAATGAACATCGTGCGATAAGGACCAAGAATCTTCTTGAACTGATAGGAAGGGAGAAAACAAAGATAGGAAAGGGGTAGCGAAGCGGTGAAAGGAAGGGGAGGGGGCGGGGAGTTTCTAAAGAGAGAGAGAGTGAAAGTTGAGGCGTGCAATAAGTGCGGAGCACGACCAAGCAGCGCAAGATTACGCCCAGTCGCTTCATAACCAATAAAATGCTAATGCTCGTATCAGGTCGGATTTAATTTCGATAGAAAGTGCGCGCGGAGAGGGGATGAACGGAAGGAAAAACGAGAGCGAGGGAAGGGGAGGGGGGATTTGGAGGAGAGCGGGTGACTTTGCCTCCGATGGGGTGCGCGGTGTTGGTGGTGATGGTCGGAGGTCAGTTGGAGGATTGGCTCGGGAGGGTGGGGGAGGGGGGCGGGCGGTGCTCGTCAGGTTTTGGTTCCACCCGCGTGTAGCGAAAAGGAACGTGCAATATCCAAGCAATATCCGCGAGAATCAAAGCAAACGTGTTATTTTGCGAGGGGCGCCGCTGGAATCCAACGCTGCTGCTGATTGTGAACCGGGCGGGCGGAAACAAACCGGGCCAGGTGGGAGGGCGGCGACGGCCAAAGCTTTTGTAAAAGTTGAAAGAGTTCATTGAGATTGCGAAAAAAACTGTCAAAAATACAGCAAAAAAACACTAGCAATACAAACTTTCAATGTCGGTGTGGCATTTCCTCCGATGACACCAAGAATGTTATCCGTTAAGTAATTTCCGCAAAACGTAAGGTACGGTAAACGTCGGTAGAATTAGCCCACTCACATAATCTTTGACTGTACTCTGCCTACAATTAGCATCTAAGTACAGTGAAAAGGTGCGTCTGAAAAAAAGAGCAGATGATATTTAAGAAACGAATGCATTTGCTATTCACAGTAATTTCTATTTCTGTATTTCTATACTCTCTACAGCTGTCATGAAACTGGGCGCCGGGGGGGGGGGGGCGAGATTTGATCGTCTTTCATCAAGCCGAAGGAGGAGGCGTCGAGAGTGACGAGCAGCAGCTGCAGCGGCTGCAGAGACAGAGTGGCTGCAGCAGCTGCAGTCAGGGAATGACGAAAGTAAAGCAGGAAGCTTCCTGGCTGCAGCAGAGTGCATTCAGAGCAGCACAGGAGGGAAATCCAGAGAGCGAGGAAATCCAAGTGTGCCACTGAGGGACAGAAAAAGAAAAGGGGGGGGGGGGTAAAATTTATTGTTCATAATTTTAGCATGTACTGTACAACAGTTGCACGAGAAAGAATGCACCAGCTGCGTACAAAAATGAGTTCACACAATTATTTTATGGTGTGCACACTGATAAACCAAGTGTTCAACTGCTCAACATTTGTAAGTGTGCAATCGCAAGTTCAATACTTGCAAGTGTTCAATTCAGTAGTAGTACACTTGCAAGTGTTGAACTCGGTATTTGTGCACTTGTAAGTGTGCAACTCCTCTGTTGAACACTTCCCTTACAGTAAGCGCCCGATATAGAGAAGTGTACAAAAGGAGAGTTAAACACTTACA